CACACACACACACACACACACACACACACACACACACACACACACACTATTCGATACCAAAGTCGGTCATGCCTCACCTGTGCGATCTCATACAGAAGCTTGTAGTGTTCCTCTCGCTTCTGTAAAGTGCACAGATTGCAGCCCATTATAGTTGTCGTGGAAACGCCAGGCGTCTAATTCTCCCCAAGTAGTGGTGGTACGGACACAGGGGGGTCACCCTCCACACCGGAGCGCTGGTTCTCATCAGTCACTCCTTAGCGAGCATCTCTTTTCAGGCATCCCATTCACACATTCAGGCAGTCACAAGCAACCCCAGCTTAGAGGAACAGAAAGCTCCAGCTGAGCCTGACAGAAGAAGGTTCAGATGTGAACAGCGGCAGTGAAGTAGCGGCGGCCGTTTCAGCATCAGCCGGAGTGTCTACTCTATCCCGCTCCCTCTATTTCAGACTCATACACTCACACGCTCACACACAGGCGTGCGCACAGGCTCATACACCAGGGTTGTGACTCGCGCTCACTGAGACACTCCCCCCTTTTTCTTCCTCCGTTTCGGCGCACATGAACACACCGATACCAGCTCATGAATAATGAGGGGAAGACGCTGTGATATTCATGAGAACAGCGGCAGGAAGGGAGGGGACTGACAAAGAGGGAGGAGTGTGCTGGAGCGGGAGCGCTGGTTCATTAAAACTGAGGCACAGTTACACAATGCGCTCCTTTGTGCGAACAGCTCCTGTGAGAAGCTTGGGCAGGGCTGACTGCACAGAGACGGGTAAGCGGAGGGTGTCTGAGGCTTATGTGTGACCTACCTGCATGTAAGGCTTTTCAGTGGGTTTATCTGCTTCGCGAGAGGAGGATGTGTTGCACTTCTGTCGGAAATAAGGAATTACACTGGCTGAGGAGAAGTAAAGCAGTAAATGCTGTTTCAACACATGGTTTAGTTCATTTACTAATAAAAAAAATCATTTAGTGCTTGTCTGTTTAATACATATCACTAAATTATTTTGGTTTTGGACCTTTGGTAACACGTTTTAAGAGTTTTGAAAACCCCTTAATTTTTACGATAATGTTTTGTTTTCTCTGATTTTGCTGCTTTTCTCTGCGCCTTATGTGTTACTCAAACCAAGAAGCCTTCTGTTTTTTTTTCCATATTTGTATTATACATTTATAGATTATATTTCTCCAACTGTTTCTAGAAAATTGATAATAGTAGGTCCATAATGAAGAGGGCCAATCAGTTTAATGAACACAATATGACATATTTGTGAGGAGCATGCACATTTCCAACTTTGTCAAAGTTTAAAAAAAAATGAGTTGAAGTAGGCATCACATATTTATAACTCCGGCACCGCTGCTGTTGCTGATAATGGGTGTCCCCACAGCAAAACTGGCAGCAAGTAAAGCCACAGACCTCAGAGACGATATATCAATCACCGGCTTCCCTCAAATTGTGATAATTGCAAGACAATAAACCTTGGCTATTGTCTCACTAGCAGGAAGCTACACAAGAAATGAGCAATAACTGTTAACAAATTGGCCTCCGAGCCAACATTTCTGCAGAATAGAATGAAGAGTAGATGAGTGCTCATCAGCTGGCTACTGGGCATCTAACCCCCCAGGGAGGCCATAATCCGATTTTCTGGGCTTTAATTTTGCTTCACTGCCTGGAGGCAAGCCAAACAGAAATCACCATTGTGATTAATACCTTCCACCGTCTTTTCCTCTACCATCATCTCCACCGCCGAACCGACCTCCCCGCCCGTCTCTCGTCGCCCTGAAGAAGCCACGAGGAGCGGGTTTTCTGCAGTTGCCAGGCAATATCAAATCCATGAAGTGCTGTTCACTAAAGTGTCAATTTGACATCAAAGAGACTTGTTGCGAGGATGGGGAGCGGGGGATATAATACTACATTTGATGAACAGAGGACTATGGAGAAAGTGCGCGTCAGAAAATCAGTCTCCTAAAATTGTATACCAAGAAGCAAAGTTATGAAGTGCTGCTGAGCAAGAGGAACTGTCTTTTCGTTTTCCTGTGGTCAGATGGAAAATGTAAACCCATTAAGGATCCTGTGCAATATATCCACACTGCATAGGAATATAAATATTCCATAGACAATCTGCTGACAGTATCCAATATTGGTACATGTGAAGGAGTGTTTTCAGGGTTCGGCTGTGGATGACCATCACTCTGTGATGGTGCACTCAGTGACCCCTTTAGGTTAAGATGCTCATCAGTCACCCAAATGGTCTTTCTCATCATCTGTGAAATGAGACTGATACAGTAGCCTTTGCCTGCGGTCAAGCAGCACCTCTCGATGAGACGTGCAGATTGAGGGATGCTCTTTGAAGAGTGCATTAAGACTGATAAAAGCTCTTCCGAGCTACTTTATGGCCACGGCTTTTACAGTTTGATGGGGTGAATTTACCTGAGACTGCGCTTCCAACGCAACCCGAGGGCAGGATTTACACATTAAAGTTACATTTACTCAAACCATTTACTTGCTAACAGGGTGACGCTCAGTGGGTTTCAGTGTGTGTCCCTGAAAGCCTGTAGACGTTATGATTTATGTTAACAATATAAGAAACTTAATGAAATGTATTGTTTAACATTTATATGGGGAATAAAACATGCTACCGCATATAAAGTCTCCATTTCAAATTGATGAACGCCGATTCTGTGCCCTCTCTGTGTCACTTTGCCTTCGACTTCCCAACTGTCCTTTTCTCCTGTCCAGCTGTCGTTTATCATCAAGTCTGCCCTTTGCCTGCTCTCGTAGAAACAGGCTCTCAGTCGTGTTCATTCTCCTAGTTAATGGACCTCACATCACAGGGAGCGGAAAACCAATTTGTCCTGACTTTGATGGGTGCATTTTGAGATTTCTTTAACAGCATTTCAAACAAACTTGTTACTCGAGCTCACCTTAAACCTGAAGTTATAACCTTCAGCCAATTGTGTAATGCAGGTCTATGGTGTATCTGAAAACCCCTTGTGTCCCCAGACATGTCTGTTCACATCTCACACGGGCTTCCTGTGTGTCTATCCTGTTCTGCATAAGTGCACACATACAAGCCCACAAACACTAAAATGAGCAACAAAAACAAAGTGATGTGGATGCTCCTGGCCCGGAATGTGAAATCATAATCAGTACCCGCAAACTGTATTTGTATTGATTTTTTGTCTGGGGATAAGTACCAACCATCACACAGAGCACAAAAGTTGGATCAATTCAATATTCCACTTCATGTGGTTCAACAAGCTGACATGTGCTGCATCTAAATGACTTTCAAAAAGGCTAACACATCGAGTTTTCTTTTTCTTTCCATTCTACCTTGCAACACAGCTTTTGTTGCCACTCACTTCTATTTTGTGTAAAGCAGCTGGCCTCACCAGACACATCACGATATATTATCACACTATACGATATTAGTCTACTATCAGTCTGTGATTGGGGTCAAGTTAGCAATTACAGGCAGTTTATTTCAAATAACACAGCAATTAACTGTAATAAATCATTGAAAATGACATTACACAAATTATTGAGCACATCTGTATACACAGAAATTCACATTTAATAGAAATGTATCATCCATCCATTCTCTTCCTCTTATTCCATTCAGGGTTGTAGGGGGCGCGGGAGCCTATCCCAGCTACCATAGGCCGAGGGCACAGTAAACCGTGTAAAGTAAACACTCACACCTATGGGCAATTTAGAATCACCAATTAACTTAACCCCACTAGATGCATGACTTTGGACTGTGGGAGGAAGCAGAGGTAGCCAGAGAGAACCAGTGCAGACACTGAGTGAACATACAAACATATAAAGACAGAAAGGCCCAGGCTAGACGGTTGATTCAAACCCAGGACCTTCTTTCTGTGAGTCACTCTGAATTAGAGCTGGGCGATAGAACGATAATGATATGTATTGCGAAATAACTTTACCTCGATAGAAAAGTTAAACTATTGCGATAGGCCTCGTCTCTCTTGTCCTCTTTTAAAAAACAACAGCCAATCCAAATTAAGTAGCGCAGAGCCGAACCAATCACAGCCGCAGCGTCACGTCACGTGACTTGTTACGTGCCGCACATGTGTATTTGTTTGGGAAGCAGCCAGCCGCTGTGCCGCCCGGTAATGGAGGAAATGAGTGCGAGAAAGATCAACCGAGAGCGTGACCGAAGGTTACCGAAGAGAAAACAGATGATGGTTCCAACGCCGGAGAGGTTGTCGAACGGAAGAGCCATAGAAGTTCTGTAGTGTGAAGGCATTTCGGCTATTTTAAAGTCTGACAAAAACAGAGTAGCGCGCACTGTAAATGTGCCGAAAGCAAGTCTGGAAATACAATAAAGCGGTGCATGCTCAATCTCTGACTGGAAGAGCTAATTCGTCATTCGGCTTTTGTCAGACTAAAGTAACTGTTTGAAAAGCTCCCATATGGAAAAGAAATAGTAAAAACTTATATGTGATTACTCATGAAAGTGGCCACTTTCATGAGTAAATCATATAAGGCTTACATGATTTACTCATGAAAGTGGCCACTTTCTCATTACTTTCATACATTGTTTTAGTAAGTATCCAAAACAAACAAGTTTCATTATATAATTTTTCAAGGGATCTTATATCTGTTTTCACTCTTATATGCTTTTCATACAAGTTTCACACAAGACAGATACAAACCTTATAAGATTTATATATATCTTTTCCATATGGGCTAAGCTATACAACAAGGAGAGATTGAGAATTTCCTTTTAGTTCTCAGTTTATTTGATATTGACAAAAGTTAGTCAATTTTGTCTGATCTTCTGTAAAACAAACTAAGATTTATTTTTAGAATTAATATTTTGTTTCTAAGTGGAACTGACAATTTAGTAGTCTGTTTTTGCCATATTTGCCTTTATTTATCTGAAAAAGTCTCATGTTCCTTAAGTACATCTACCCTGTTGAACTTATTATGGGAAATAAATATTTAAATAAAAACAAGCTGCTGATTATTTCACATTTTACTTGTGAGCAACGGCACATTTAAATCTTACAAATATAGTTATTTGGCTTATATTGTGATATATATCGTTATCGCCTGAAATGAAAAAAACATATCGTGATATGAAAAAAATCTTATATCGCCCAGCTCTACTCTGAATCAGACTACAACTGTTCCCAGACAGGTTGCCTCCTTTCAGGCAACCTGTGCAATCGCCTTGCAATCATAAGCGGTTATGAACGCACATCATGCTCAAGCTCTGGGCAACCATTTAGTCACCATGCATTGCAATCAGTTGCATAATGTGAAAAACTGATAAGAGTCACCAGACATCCACCAATGGTTTTTAGCTGAACCAATTTAAAGTACGTTTGCTCAGCTAATGTTCTCTCAGGATGGCAGTGCATCAGATGAGGTCTCTTGTTCAAAGTATTCCCAGATTATTTTAACTTATCTAATAAAATATCATAATTTGGTGTCCTTATATCGATACAATATTGCCATGCAAAATGTCACAATACTATAACCAATTTTTCACCCACCCCATCTAGTTTGAACAGAAAGGTAGAGATCACCCGAAGCTAGCGAACGCTATATTCTAGCAGTTCTGTAAACTTACTCTAACCTTGACAGGAAACATGAAAGCATCCTAAATGAGTCAGAGCTTTAATGAGGAGGAGTTATTGCTGTGATTACTTGTCTGTGGCAATGTCTGTGAGGAATATCAAATGTCCCCATAGCGTTTAATACATAAACAGGTTTATTAGGCCAGCGCTGACACACCATCTGGGTGGAAATCTCTTTGGTGTGAGCAGTGAAGATTGAAATCCCGTTCACGTGAATGGAGAGCCGCGGGGACCTGAGAGTGGTTTGTGATTTGATGTGAGTCTCAGATCTGATCGCCCACCGCCACTGCAAAACAGCCGCTTCTCCTGGGTATTCATGCGACCTGATTTGGGAGTAATTAAATGAGTCTTTTATGAATGAATCATCGTCATAGCCTGCTTTTCACATGACAGCTCTGAAAGGAATTGGTCCAGTGTGCACATACAAAAGGATAGGTGAGTGCTTCAAAACAGGCGTAGCCACATGTGAAGCCAACCAAAACATTTCTCAATGACAATAAATTATTAAAAAGGCTTGAATCTTTAATTCATGTGGGAACATGACCGTGGCTAAAAATAGCAGATCATAGACTCTTTTAAATGATAACATATGTAATGTTGCTTTGTAAGCAATCGGCGTATCGAAAAACTAATTTATTGGCTGAGAAGCAATTTAACCTCATATTACAGCCCACATAAAGCCTCTGTTATGATCAAACAATGAAATTATCTGTTATTAATTTGGAATAATAGCTACTGAACTGTGTCATTGCTATCATGGGCATCGCACAAAATCTTCTCACCTTTTTTGGTCAACTTACAGCAGAGGTGTCAAACACAGGGCCAGGAAAATGGGGTGGTAAATTGGGTAGCTCCTTAAATTTGAAGGAGGGAATGAACTTTAACTTTTAGCTGTAATTGTATAGATTTTATAGATTTTACAACTTATCTCCTCCATGGTTATTCATTAGTAAGTAAGTCAACTAAGTAAGTAATTAAGTAGGACTCAATGACTGATAAGTTCCTGTTTTGTCCCTGTCTACTATAAAAATGTGTTTTTTTACAATAGTAGTAAATAATTAACAAAAACCTAGAAGCTACCACAACTTTTTCTGAAATTTTTAACATTTATTGATTGTAATTTATGCCCAAAGAGGAATGGCAACAGAGCTATTTTATTTACTCCAGCAGCATTGGTTCATCATGGAGAAAATCCGAGATGTACTATCAAAATTGCACCTTTCTTAGAAAACATCTCATATATTAAATGCAAATAACATTTTTTAAAGGTCACATAATTTCATATAACTCTTCACCAACACATCTTACCACCTCTCAAAATGTAAATTAAAAACTCTAGCACACCACACACAGAGCCATCCTGCACAAAATCTGGTTAAACCCGATGCCTCCCGTGTGCCTGAAGATCAAACAAAGTGCAAATCAACCACTAAGCTTCAGCTTTTCTCTACCTGACTTCTGAAACTTCTGAGGGAGTGGCATGTGCCAAGCACTGGTTGGGTTCTGGGATCAGAAGTAAATGAAAGTATGACTGGTGCGTGTGTGATGTCTGCCTACGGCTACAGTGGTAAAACCTGTCAATGCTGTGATATATGAGAAAAATTCTTCATTTTTTCCTTTTACATTTTTGGATCGGATTCACAAATTTATCCCATCAATCTAATATTAAAATATGATGGACATGGATTTAAAAGAAATTATCACTGAACATGTCACAGAATAAACAAAAATCCCAAAACAGAGGTTGCTACATTTCCCATAACCCGTTTTCATTCAACCCTCCTTTTCTGATAAATAAATATCTACCTAAATCATCTATTGTAACATGTTTCCTGTCTATATATGTGTATACATAGCCTCAAGCTGAAACTAAAGAAATGTCAGCAACATCAATATCGAGACTCCAGAGTCACATTTATGAGCATAATCTGTAAATGTTCAATTACAATGTCATTATAATTTCTAGGAGAGCGAGAGGGAGTGAGAGATAGAATTGCACATAGCTTCATTAAAACTGTTATCATATCACCAATCCCCCTTTTAGACTAACAGTTTCATCACCCTGGCTGCGCACCAAGCTGTCTAAGTAATCCAATTTTTTCATCATGTCAGAAACACATCATGTGTGACCCAGGTGTGGCTCATAGTACGAGCAGTGAATGCTACATCGGTTTAACACTTGTCAGAGTAGTGACCTTTTCAGCGAGGAAACATTCAGTTTAACACATTCGGCTGCGGGAGAAGAGGGGTGTGAGGGGGCGCGGTGACTGAAAGACTAGATCTTTCCACTGCTATCTCTACTTGATGCTCCAGTCTGTTTTCATATTCATTTAACCCCAGGCTGTAAAGTGTGTTGGCCAACCCCAACTGCTGCCATGAAAATACTCACAACCGCATGACACCGTGACCCCGACACCACCCGTGTAGCAGCACACCCTCAGGACATCCTGCATTACTGCTGCACCAGCCTCCCTGCAGTTCCGGGGGAATGAGAGTGAAAATGTTTGTTCCCATATGTTTAACTTTGATGGTTGTTAACGCTCCCCAGCCACCCGTTGATAAATAGTAATAATTCCAAATGCATTAAGCACTCAAGCATAAACATAGCATAACTCTGAAGTATGTGTCTGTTGATCCAGCAAAGACTGAGCAGAGGTCCAAAGGTCTGCCTGCTTTTGTTTCCTAAGACTATAATGATATTTGTGGTTGGATACAATCCCCGTGAGCAGTGGGCTCACACTCTTTTTATTATATCATATTCCAATATCATCTGACATACAGTAACAAGGTTATAGAGATTCCCTGCTATACTGTATAACCCTCCACATTGCAGGCATAAAAAGTATTACAATCACCCTTAATTGCAAGATAAAGCTGAATTGTAAATTTTTTTATTTTTTTTTTAAATAAACACAGACCAAGAGGAAAATACTATATATAATCAGGCCTTGCTAGTTTTCATCTTCTTAGTATTAAAAATTGACTCTGTGACATTCCATCACACCAAATGAAAGTCATCTGCAGGATCGTCATCTATTGTCTGTTTTACTTTTCTTTAAAAGAACACTTAAGAACCAATGGAAAGGGTAAGTACATTTGTGTGGTAGAGCCTGGCAATTCTCACTATAGACAAATAGCAAACATGTACAACAGGCATATCATTGATTTCGGACTGTGAGCACTGCTGGTGGAGTCCTGGTCAATACGCAGTCAATACACCTTTGATTGTGGATGAGAGTTTTGTGCTCCAGAAGAAAGAATGGCAATCTATACAGACAATCAGCTCAGGGGGCAAACGGGTTAGACTCATA